CTGCACTGCTGGGGCTGGACGACGCGCCGCTCAACGGCCAGCCTGCTTCGGACAGCCTGTTTGCAATTTAAAAGTAAATATTATACACACACACAGAGAACACATGCACGCATACAGCTCACACTATATCTGCAGCGAAATGCAAACGCAACGGCAACGGCAACGCCATCGCCATGTTTGCGCACTACGTGAAACTTGCCGATGTCGCTGCCAACGTCAGCAGCAAAATTTGTATGCTGTCGTGGCCAGGGCACAGCACGAAACGCAAAATAGCCCACTAGGAAATATGCTAACAAGCGCTACATGTGCAATGCCTGGCGCTGACTAAATTGGGCGCTGGGTTGTGTGCTCTGTTCGTGTGTGTGTGTGTGCGCAACATTAAATGGGAACGATGAACGACGAGTCAAAAGCAATAGCAATAGCAGCAGCAAGAAAGCGTAGCACTTGTATGTATGTGTGTGTGTGTGCATGTACGTGTTTGTGTGGCTAGCAGTGGTGAGTGAACAGCCGTCGGCTGCTGCTGCTCGCTGCTTGCTGTAGTTGTTGTTGTTGGTATTTGGAGTGTAGCTGGCATTCAGCTCTAGACGTTTACGTTTACGTGTACCGCAAGTGCTCATTACGTATTCCACTGCACACACATACGCGCGTATATATAAATATATACATGCACGTATGCGCGCATTGCGTTTTTTGAGGGTTAATATGAAAAGATACTTCACAGATTTTTAGCTGGCTCGCAAATCTTTCATGTTTACTCGCTCGTTTATACCCTTAATTCAGCTCATTTTGGCTTTTATTTTTATTGCATATTTATTTTTTGCCCACATTCTGTCTCTCTCTCTTTAACACATTTGCATTGGTTGCGACTGTCTTTGTCTTTTTGTGTGTGCGTACTTTGCCTAATAAATTATGCGCCCTTTTGATAAATGTCACTTTGAAAGTACATTCCACCTAATTGTGGCGAGACCGTGAAAGAAAATAACAGAGAGAGAGAGAGAGAAGCGGGACATTAATTGCCGTAATAAGCGCACCTGTCAAAATTTATTTCATATTTAACAGTTTGGCTGCGGCAAAAGAAGAAAGCGGGTGCTATGTGTGCACAGGAAATGAAACGAAATGGCAATAGAACATAATTAAAAAAGCTAACAAATTGCATGAGCCCAGGGTGCTGTATGTTTACGGAACGAAACGAAATGGAAGTGGAACACAATTAAATTTAAGCACGCAGCAAATAAATGGAAAGAGGAAATTGTGTAAACTATTTGCAGGACATGAAACAAACTGGCAATGGAACGAAATAAACTTGACCCGAAAATGAAATGTGTACTATATGTTTGTATATATTTGAAACGAAACGGTATGAAACTGAATTTTCAAAATAAATCAAGCATTAACCATAAAACAACTGAGAATCAAACTGTTTTTCATGAAACGTAACAGAAAGGCGAAAAAGAATGTTATTGAAACAAGCAGTCAAAAAACTGTATTTTGAACGATGAAGTTATGTAACTGGAACAAAACGAAATGTGAAAAAAAAAAAATTAAAATTTAATGTATTTAAAAAGGAAATCTTGATCCTATAATAACACGTAAGGAAACGGAATGTACATGGAACTAACATGAAAAAGGAATATTACATAAAGAAACGGAATGGAAAGGGAACTAAAGTGAAAAACAAACTGTGTGCGACATCTAGATGGAACGGATGGGAAAAGGAGATCTTCGTCGTATAATATTACATAAAGAAACGGAATGGAAAGGGAACTCATGTCAAAAACAAACTGTGTGCGACATCTAGATGGAACTGATGGGAAAAGGAGATCTTCGTCATAAAATATTACATAAAGAAACGGAATGGAAAGGGAACTAATATCAAAAACAAACTGTGTGCGACATCTAGATGGAACGGATTGGAAAAGGAGATCTTCGTAGTATAATATTACATAAAGAAACGAAATGGAAAGGGAACTAAAGTGAAAATCAAACTGTGTGCGACATCTAGATGGAACGGATGGAAATAGAAAGATAAGTTAATGCAAGCTTATTAATGAATGGAACGGATGAACATACAAAGATAACTTAATTCAAACTGTAAATGAATTTGAAATTGGAAGAGGCTCGCGTTAATGCAGACAGTCAAGAAACTGCTTAAACATTTCAAACAGAAGTATCTACAGTAAAACAGAAGTATCTACGGTCAAACAGAAGTATCTGCAGCATGTCTGCTGTGTTGCAACCGAACTCGGCAAATATCCAACTCGTGCAGCTTCTCGTACCGTAATATGCAACCGCACAGACAAAACCACAGCCGGTTGCTACACACACATTAATTATTCGTTTTGCCAGGAGGATTCATATCCAGCTGGGTCGCAAGGACACACACACACACACTCGCACACACACCCATCTATCTGTCATGGATGCAGTTAGACACTCGCCCAAAGCATTCCAAATGGGTTCTGCATCAGCTTGGAGCAGTGTGGGTCCACATATAATTACTTTTGCATGCAGAATTGCAGTGGCTTTGGGTAGCTCCACTCCGACAGAGATTGGGAGCATACATAAATAATGTGTAACCGGAAATGGAGAAGTCAACGGATAATATAGCCGCACAAGCCTCTAGCCAAAAGCAACTTCTCACCGGAAGCAGATATTATAATAGACTTGACTCCGGAACGGAGCTGGTCAGGATTGGATAAGACTCCAGTGTATAGTTTTACTCTCTCTGAAAATGGATCATTTATATTAGTATAATACTCTTTTAACAGGCCTTTCCATTCTTAACATGTTTGGAAGCCATTGTTGGTCAATTAACTGACTTATTTAAATCGATGATGATGATTTTATATTACAATACAGTCACACGTTCACTTTCCCATTCTAAATGTATTAGACTTTGTCCTATTGTAAACACACAACAAGCAAGAAAATAACAAAATCAGTAGAGCTTAAGTGTGATTATGAAAATCGCATAGAAGGGCAATATTTAACAAAGGGAAAGGCGAGGGATAGCGATAGTGAGGAAAAGAGAACGGTAACGAGTTTGAGAGATAGAGAGAAAGAGAAAGAAAGAGAGAGAGAGAGAGAGAAAGAGAGAGAGAGAGATATAGAAGGAGAATGAGGGTCATAAAGGAAGGAAGAAGGGAAATATTTGCCAAAGGAAAAGCTAGTAATGGTGAGGAAAAGATGTCGAGAACAACTTATTTACTGTGCGTATGTGTGGGGGAGAGAGAGAGAGAGCGAGAGAGATAGACAGAGAGAGAGAGAGAGAGAGAGAGAGAGAGAAGAGAAAGAGAGAGAGAAAGATAGAGAAGATGGAGAAAAAAGAGGATGAGAGAAAGTGAAAAGTGAAAAATGGGAATAACTAGGACCAAACAAGAGGCAGAGTAATTGCAAGAGAGAGCGAGAGAAGAATGGACTATATGAGTGAAAGTGTAAGTGCGAAAGAGAACGAGAGAGAACGGTAGAGAGAGACAGAATAAAAACGCGAGGTAAAAACAAAGGGGACAAAGATCGAGAAAGCGAGTGAATGAGTAAGTGAAAAAGATAGAAAAAGCTAAAAATGGAGAGAAATATGTGGGGAGAGCTAGAAATTGGGAGAAAGTAACACAAAAAGGCATAGCCATATTGGCTATGGCAGAGATACGTGATATTTTCGAAAAGATATTAATAATAGTAATTGAAAAATGTATCTGTATCATAAACTGATGATATGGAAGAAGGCGAAGACGCGAAATATAAGTTAAAACAAACGTAATATCAACCTATTAATAATTGTAATTGAAAAATGTATCTGTACCATAAACTGATGATATGGAAGAATGTGAAGGAACAAAATATAAGTTAAAACAAACGTAATATCACGATAGATGTAGGTATATCCGGCTTAAGTCGCAGAGCAGGCGAAAAATGGAAAACATGTACATTAAATTGAGGTTCCCCTGTACAATTTGACTGTACTCGCTGCTCTGACAACATATCATGCATATATGTATATAAATAAAACACGTATCTGCATCGTTTATCAAACTGAATAAAGTCGGAATACGAATTTTCCGGCGATTGCCGTGCATATTAATGCCTAACGAGCCTTGAAATCAACGCGAAGTCGTGCCAAAAAAATGTTCAAGGATATGCGATTTGGCACTTGTCCTTGTCGCCGTCGTCGTTTTTGTTGCCGTCTCCTTTAAGCCTTTGAAATGCAAATTTTTGTCAGTCGCTGAAGTCGTTTTCAATTGAATTGAAATCCAAAAAAAAAGAAAGAAGAAGAAAAGCCGCCCCGTGGCTGTCAAAACGAGAAGCGAGATCAAGTAGGCTTCATGTGTCAAGTGCGCGTCTGTGACAGGCAGAGATACAGCTTAAAAGATACACAAGCTCACAGATGCACACACGCAGGCACAGATACACGCACGCATACAGTCAAAGGAGAGGACGTTACCTTTCGCATATGGGCCCCACAAGTCATGCAAACGGGGCATATTCATATTTTATACAAAATGCCCAACGGACAGAGTGTGAGCGAGAAACAACAACAGCAGCGGCAGAGACAGGAGCAGCGACAGCGGCAGAGAATTCGCGATAATTATAAACGCCAAGGCCAATACGTAGCTGGCACGATTGACGACGCCGCTGTCGCTGCCGACGCCAACGTCAATGCAGAAGCGTTAATCTCTCATTTGACAGTTGAATTCAATTAAAAACGGCACCCACACACACACACACGCACGCACACAGGTACGCAACGCACAGCCACCCCAAAAAGGTAAAGGCAGCGCAACGCAGCACACACACACACACGCACACATACAGGCACGAGCAGAGGCACGAAGTCGTCGTGCCAGAGCCGAACAGCCGAACGCAGCACTTACAGCCAATCAAGCCTCACAACAGCCGCAGGGTGGGCGGTACAGCAATGGCGCGAAACGGCAACAGAGCGTCTCTTTGTCTCGCTCTCGCTAGCTCTCGCTCTCACGAGGGGCTCTCAGGCGCAGACGCGAACATTGGCAGCGCGGTGCCGAAATCGTTGGCAGGTCTAATCAGAATCAGTCTTTGAACAGTTTTCGTGCCGTGCACTTTGTGGACGGAGTAAAGTAAATTTTTTCGCTGTCAGCAAAAGAGAGACAGTGATTGAGTGACTGAGTGAGAGACAGAGCGAGAGCGCTGAAAATCTCAGCGGCTGTTCGTGATAATAAAAACGTGTATGAGAAATCGATAAGAGCAGCAGCAGCAGCAGCTGAAGTGAAAGAAGCGCGCACACACACAGCGCCCATGCTGTGTCTGTATATGTGTCGGCAAGTGCTATAAAGTAAGAAGAAGAAGAGTTCATCATTTGGCTTGAATCGATTTATGCTTGTGCGTAAAATTGATTTCAATTCGTTTGCAGCTTTTTAGCCGGTAACTAGTTACCGTGATTCTTGGCCACTGTCCGAATAATTTGCGTCGCAGCTTGGAAGAAAAACTCAACCGTTGGGAAAAACTCGCGATGTTGTGTGTACATTTCTAATAAGAAAAATTTCACTTTGCATTTGATTGCGCGGCGAGCGCGGCGAAATGTAACGAAAAAAATATGTTATATACGCTCTCGCTTCAGTGTGTGTGTGAAAATTTTGTAAACACACGTACACGTGACAAGTGCGTTTGTGTTGTTGTCGTATTGGAATTTTCGTCGCCGCTAGTTCGAAATGAACGAAAAAAAAAATAAACAACCGAAACTGAAACTGCGGCGAAGGCGAAAACACGCGCGCGCAAATTGTAGAAAGTTTTGTTTTGGGATTTGGTTGTGCCGCGCTATGCTATGCTCTCCCCACACAGCCCACTAGGGGCGTTCGCTCTCTCGCTGCGGCGAATAGATACAAATTGGTGTCGTCGTCGTCGTCGCCGTCGCTGCTTCGTGTTTTCTGTTGTTGTCCGAGTGCTCGTTTCGCCTCAATTGCGCGGCGAGTACCCGAGTGCGAGTACGAACGCAGCGTAGCCCGCACGTAGCATTTGAATTTCGTGCATTGCTTTTAGTTGTATTTTCAGCGGCTGCTGTTGTGGACAAATACCGCACGTTCATAACGCAAGTAGATTTTGCTTAAAATTTCAATATATATTCGCTGTGTTGCCGCGTCTCTCGTCATCGGCAAAGCTTGTTGCGTGCGCGTCGTGTGTTTCTCTGTGTGTGTGTGTGTGTGTAACCACCCTGCGGGTTGGTGTTGTAGAGTGCGCTCGTGCCGGCGCCAGTTGCTGCTGCGACTGCTGCTCCGGCTGTTTTTGTTGTTATTGTTTCGCTTCGTTTCGATAGCGATAACAGCGCGGCGAAGCCTCTGCCCACTGTGCAAGCTGTGGCCATTTCGTCACTGTCAGCGTGTCTGTGTGAGTGTGTGTGTGTTAGTGTGAGCCTTGCTCGTAAACTAATACGACAGCGACATTGAAGACGTCATCAATGTTGTCAATTGTACGCCCAAGCCACCCACAAAGACCGGCACAGTGGGCCACGTACTGTGCGATTCTGTGTGTGTGTCTGTGTGTGTGTGGGCGTGGGCAGCGTTGATGAATGGCATTTGAGTGTTTGCTTTGCCCACATTCTCATTATCCTTAGCTACGTTTGCATTTTCTTCTTCATAAGCTGCAGCTACCGCTGTGTCCAGCTTCCCTAACCCCCCCCCCCCCCCCCTGGCTACTTGTGCCCACTTTGACTTAGTTTGCCAGCTTTTGTTTTTGCTGCCTTCCTTTTTGCTCGCTTTTTGTTTTGTTTTCATTTTTTGTGTTTTGCTAGCATCGCATCGCAGCGCAGCGCAGCTTCTCTCGGCTTGTTGTCACTGCTGCCGCCTATTTCGTCTTTCGCCTTTTACAAGCTGCTTTCGTGCCAGTTTCGCGTGAGCGTGTGACGTACAAAGCAGAAACATGTCAAAGGCAAGCGGGGCAACAACAACAAAAATGAAGAAGAGGAAGATGAAAAAGTGGGCAGCGCATTGCGAGCCAATGCGACTTTTATTTGCCCTACAGCTCAGTTTCGAGTTGCGAGTAGGGGATGTCAGAGTCCAAAAACTAGATCTATATCAATTTAAATATATAAATTTAATATGCATCCAAGCACATAAAGCCCAAACTGGGTTGTTGAACTCTTTTAGCGGCAAATCACCTTCACTCAAATTAACACTTTTAACTATAAGACTAACACTTGGAATAGTTGCTCAAGGAAATTGATTTCTATAGGAAGCCAAGCTCTAGATAAGTTTACCACGCTTTTATTTTAGATTAGGAGTAGATTATGGATTTTAGTAGATTCATTAAGCACGTCGCAAATATTATATAATTAATAAACTAGTCTAGGTATCAAGAGCTGATCATTTTGGAAGCAGACAATAAGGTAAGCTTCAAAAGAAAGTATCAGTATAGTCGTAGTCAAAATTTAAGGGACTTTTAACCCATCCGACAACTTTCAGAATGTTATCAAGTACTAAAATAGAATTGGGTGCATAATTCATAAGATTTGGAAAGAAAATAAGATCGATTCCAGGTTTCTAAAGTTATATAGGCAAGATACATTAAAGATAGTCTTTAGGAAATGAAAAAAATGGATGTTTCTAGGGGTAATTCGAAGAAATGTAACGTAGTTTAAGGATAATCTTCAAAAAAGAAGATTTAAGAGGCTTCTATGTTTATTTGTAAAGTAAACATATACAATTAGTTAATGGCTTAGCCAGTTCAAGGTCTAAGTTTTAAATAGGTTTTGAGAAAAGAAGTGTTTCCCGGGTATTCATATACAACTGCATAATGTATTGCAATTATCAAATACATGTGTGCTCTTTAAACAATCACAAAGCAGTGTCAGTTTTATGTATAGATTGATTGTTTGATAGATTATTATTTTATAGAATATCTGGAGATAGGGAACTTTTAGCGGGGTATTTATGTTGTTTTCTATGCATTAGATGCCTTCTGCGTAAGAGTCTTATTACTGAAACATTTTTGAAAGTTACCTTTTTAATATTGAATTTTCAAGTTTTTTTTGTTAATGAACTTTTTTGAAATTCTAAGTTTTTTGACTTATGAATTATCGAACAATTTCTTGCAAATTTACTTTTCTAATTCCAATATATTTTGCTTTTAGAATTTTTAAACATTTTTTGTAAATTTTTTTTACTGTTTTCCAACTTGTATGCCTAAAAAATTTTTTTTCTCTGAAGATATTTCAATTTAGGTATTGTACAAATTCATCATTAAAATGTTTGAAATTTTGCTTTTTGGGTTTTCAATATTTTTTGGCCCAAAAAAAATGTACTTTGTTTTTCTTAAATAAAGCGCAGTTAAAGTATTTGTTTAATGTTATACATATACTCGGCTTATTTCTAAAAATAAATCATAATGTTATTTAACAGAATATAATATTATGTTACATTACATTACATTTATCTGTTCTAGTCTCTTAACTAAGTAAATATATACATATTTATGCGCTGTAAAAACAATTTAATTGCCGACAGCACAATTAGGACTTGCTGCTAAAAGCCCTTACCCGGCACGGCTTTATTCACACTTTATATAGACATTAACATCCATGACATTTGCTGCCGTTTTGTTCGTTCCATTCAAATCTCATCAACATGATGTGGCACACATTCTTCCTCTTCCTTTTGCTCTTCCTCTTCCTCTTCTACTGCTGCTGCTGCTTCTGCTTTTGCTGCTGCTTCTTCGAGCCAACCTGCTGATCCAACTCGCTGCCCACATCATAATAATTATCATCATCATCATCATCATCATTATTATTATTATTATTATTATCAACGCCGACTGTTTGCATGTGTGTGTGTGTGTCTGTGTGTGTTGGTGTGTGTAGGGCACACAAGAGCGTAATTTTCGTACTTTATTCGTTTGCACGACGAAGAAGAAGACGACGATGACGACGACGAAGGCGAAGACGAAGACGAGGCGAAAACCTAAAACTAGATTCAAGTACACACGTTGAGTGCGCAGTTCGTGTATGTGTGTTGCGTGTGTGTGTGTGTGTGTGTGTGTGTGCTCGTTGCGAGCTTGTGTGTAGGGTGCCCTGTGTGTGGCACAAAGGGCGTCGCTTGTGCGCCCGTAAGCCCAGCAGCCCCCTCCCCCCCCTACCTCACCCCACCCCGCCCACTCTCCCTACGCCGACGAACGCTCTGCATATGAGTTAGTTTTTGTTCTAGTCTTGTCTTTTTTGTGCGCCTTTTTTTTGTGTTTTTTTCGTTGCATATATATATTTTTGTTTTCGGCATTGTTCCGATTCATGGATGGCTGATTTACTAGTTGAAAGTGTTGTGTGTCTAGTGCCGCCTGACGTTGCCATATCTTTGTGGCAGACACAGATGCAGATGCAGATACAAAGATACAGATACAGATACATTTACATACATTTGTGTGTGTGTGTGCTTGGCTTTTGTTTGACGAGACCTAGAGACCAAGCCGACCGACCGACCGACCGACCCGACAGACCCGACCACAATCATGTTGATGGGTGATGATGGTTGTCGTTTCTCGGTTGTCGGTTGCTGGGATTTTGCTTTATGTTGTTTCTCACAGTTGGAGTTTTTCACTACTTTTTCACCTTTGTTTATGCCTAGCTCTGTGCGTGTGTGTGTGTGTGTAAAGCTTTGCCCCTCTTACGGCTCTCTACTTTTTGCGCAGTCGCAACAACTTTGTCATCAGCCTTGGCTAAGATCTAGCTGTCCCATTAAGAGTTGTGTTCATCATTAGATCAAGCATTAACAATGCATTATTCACAATATATTAACAACTTAATCTTTGTCTTGGAAAGTAGGGAAATTCCTGTTTAACTCAACTCCTCTCTGTTCCTTGCAGGACATGCTAGCATCTTAAAAAACCAACTACACAGAGGCTAACTACACACATAAAGATAACAAATATTAGAAATTTAAAAAAAAATGCATCTGAAGACGGAAACCCAGCTACACAAGCTGCATTCCGAGCGCGACGGTTCCGTTCGCGAGCTGAACCAGTTCAATGAGCTGTTGACCTGTCGCATTTGCCAGGGCTATATGATAGACCCGACCACAGTTGACGCCTGCTATCACACATGTAAGTGGGCCCCAGCTCTACCGTAAAACCCACTCGACTTCCAACTCAATTAAAAAACGTTTCCTCTTTGTTTTGTTTCCACTTTTCAGATTGTCGCAGTTGCATTCTGAAGCATTTGCTGCGCGATGTTTACTGCCCACAGTGCAAGTCCAGCGGGGGCAAGCACATCAGCGAGGATAACCTCAGGTAGGTGCCATATTCCCCTGCCCAACCTCTCTCTCTCTGAAGCTGAAGCTTAGCTAAAAACAAAAACATCGACTCGTGCACACAGATCCGATGACACGTTGCGTGCGCTGATTTATAAACTGGTGCCGGGTCTCTATCAGCGCGAATGCAAGCGTCTGGCCGAGTTCAGGGAACAGCACCGGGAACTGGATGCCGACGAGGAGCTGCTGAGACCCCAACTGGAACAGCAACAGGAGTTCTTTACGCCAGGCGAGCCTATTAGGTAAATCATCGCAGCCTGTTCTCTATGAAAGAATCGCTTCCATTTATTGCTTCAGTTTGGTTCTTTTTTCATTATTCCTCGAGCGATTTTCACTTGTTTTCCTTTACAAATTTTCTCTTAATCCAGTTTCCAAGCTTAAAAATAATATGATCTTAACTATCTTTAGTTACTTTTCTGTTCCTTTGAGACATTTCTTTTGGTTTTTGTTAAATATTTTTTATATCTAAAGGAAGTTTTTCCAAGCTTAAAAATAATATGGTTTCTTAACTTTTCGTATTTATTTTTCTGTTCCTATGAGATATTTCTTTTGGTTTCTGTTAAATATCTTTCATATCACAAGGAATTTTTCTCTGAGATATCATTAATTCATTTTCAGTTATCCCTTTAAAAAACCTTCTCTTAGGAGATATTATACTAGTAGTTTCTTTCCCCTAGATTTCGGCTTTTCAGTTGAAACCTTGTTAAAGATACAAGATATTCCCTTTATACATATTTCTATTCCATGCTCAGAATAGTTTCTCCCTGCATTTCTCTACCAAGTTCTTGCTCCATTACGTATATCTCACTTACACTTGTTTTTCCCGTTGTCTTCTTTCGTTTTTTCCACAGTTTATCCCTAGAATATCATCCCGCTATGCTGAAAAACTGCGGCTCATCCGAAAAGCCGCCCATCTGCTATCTGCAGTGCCCCGCCGATTTGAGGGTTGTGCATCTGAAGCGTTTCCTCTGCTCCAAGTACGACATCGATGCGGAGAACAAACATGTTGAGGTCGAGGTCACGTACGAGGATGAGGTCTTGCCGCTCAGCTTTACGCTCATGGATGTCGGCTATTGTTACCAGTGGAAGCGGGTGAGTTCTCAACTTTGTTTCGACATGTTTTCTATTCCTATTTCTATTTCTATTTTTTTTTTTCGGCCAAGAGCTGGGGTAGGATTTGTTGTGCCTGTGCCTGTGTCTGGCACTTAAAATTAGCCGCTGGCAAATCGGATTGTGCCGCCAGTTTAGTGTCCACTCCATAATTTATATGCACACACACACAACGCCCAGCCCTATTTTAGGCTAGACAACTCAGAAATCATAAAGTAAACACAGTTTATTTGAGCAAAAATCTTGGGGGATTTCCATAAGAGTCCTTCTGGCGTATTTGTGCCTATGTGAACTAAGCTGTCCGTGAATATATCCTCATGAAAGTTGGTATAGTCTCGTCTTTTAACTGCAGACAGAAAATTTGATAATATCGAGCGAATCGGAGAACTATAGCGTAAAGCTGGCAAAGGGAGAATCGTTTCAACATGAGTTTTTTGTATGAAAAACTTCTTTTTTGAATTTACCTTTACCAAAGGCAAGAATTGTTCGTTTTCTAATGCTATTTACAGCTACACAAAATCTTTTTTAGATCAGCCCACTTTAACATATAACTTTCATACGAACTATCCGTCCAGAATTGAGGTTTTCTTTGTAAAACTTGTTTGTTTCTTTGAGTTATCTTTACGAAACTCAAACTTTTTAATAAGCTTTATAATGTGTCCATTATATAAGGAATTATTTAATCGGAGCACTATATAGCATATATTCCATAGGAAGAATCGAATGATAATTGAGTTGTTTACAAAAAAATCCGTTTATTTTTCACAATATCCCGATTGAGTTTACAAAATATTCCAATTTTCCTAAGCTACTAACTGTTAGCCTAAAATGTATCTATAAACCTTGGAATATTGGTAAAGTATCTATCTATAAAGATATATCATACTATATGGTTCCCTTAGAAATAATCGCTTGAAAATTGCGAAATTTAAGAAGAAAACCTTTTTGTCTCTCAAAATATCTCGAGAAAACTAAAGGCGTCTCTTGTTAACCTTACTTTAGATATATTTTGAATGAAAGGTGACAAGCATATTATATAGCTGCCATAGGAACAATCAGTTGAAAATGATTTGTTGAGATTAGTGAATTATATAGGGGCATAGCTGAGCGCCCTACCCTACCCTACCCTAAAACGGCTCCATCGTGTCGATGATGCTATAGCAGGGTATTTAATCTCGATAACTATTAGCTCATTTCTATTTTGTTCCACCCCCCTTTTGTCGAATCCACAGCACGCGCCCATGGCATTTCGGTATAGGATACTGTTGCACGAACGCGAGACAACAAAAAACGATGAGAACAATTTGTCAAAGGTTAAACAGGATATTGAGTTAAGTCCCGCGGCGGCGGCGACAAAGAGCGGCAAGTCGGTGACCTTTGCCGTGGACGTGGATGTGAATGCGGATAGACAGCGTCTGCCGTTGCATGCCACAAGCAAGGCGCGCAACAAGTCCACGCAAAAGCTGGCCAAAAGCAAGCGCCTGGCCAAAAGGGAGGCCGAAGATGCCGCCACAGCTCCGAGCAACTTCAAGAGCCTGCGCAGCAACGATATGCGCTACAGCGACTACGGCGTGGCTGCCACAAGTTGCACGCCGCTGTTGCGCGTCAAGAGCGAACCGGAGCAGGAGACGGATACGGATACGGACGCGTTGCCGGACAACTTGGGGGCTGTGCCCAATCTGAACATTGTGGTCAGCATACCGCAATCGCAGCTGAGCAAATCGGCCGGCTACGGCGACGAGTGCGGCTTCGAGCTGAAGACGGCCAACAAGAAGTCGTCGTCGTCGCCGCCGCAGCAGCAGGCGGCGTCGCTGGTGCGCAATCTGCCCAAGCTCAAGATCGAGCTGAACAGCATGAAGGCCAAGCTGACAATGCCCAAGTCGGCGGAGCCGCGGCTCGAGCAGCAGCAGCAGCAGCAGATCGATCTGGAGACATACGCCAAGAATATTGGCCTCAAGCCCATCGAGCCGGCAGCCGTTCCGGCGTCCTGCGTTCCTTCGCAGGATCTGCTCAAATACAGTCCCAATGCGTCGCCCATGTCCTCCTCCTCCTCCTCAACGAATGGCTCCAGCGGCACTGTCGATGCCAGCACCTGCACGAATGCCGCCAACAGCAGCAATTGCTCCACGTCCTCGCATCGCAAGCGCAAGAAGAAGCACTCCAAGGAGCCAAAGGATGCGAATGGCAAACGCAAGAAACTGCATGCGGAAATCTCGTCGCAAACGGATGGCAAAATGAAAATGAAAATAACAACAACGCACAACCACAAGGCGCACAAGCTCGACCTGAAGCGTTCCCATTCCCTCGCTGGCGGCGAGCTCGTCTCGCTGAATCAGCTCAAGCTCGAGGAGCAGTCCACAATGGTGCCGTTACTTTCGACCAGCAGCAAGGAGGATGCACTGAATCGCACGCTGGGCGAGGAATCGCGCAGCATCAACAGCCTGATGCCGGCCAGCAGCAGCAGCTCCTCCGCCTCCACCTCTTCCTCTTCTGCCGCTTCCTCTGCCGCCTCCCCTGCTAGTTTTGCAGCGGACAAGCTGCCACGCAGCGGCAAGGAGCTCAATTTGCCCGCCTCGCCGCCGCTGCCGCCCAGCCTGTTCAAGGGCTGCACGCCAGCCACGACCACGCCCACTCCGACGCCCACGCCCACTCCGACGCCCACGCCCACTCCAGCGCCCGTCAAGCCCAAGCTGGCCGCCAAGCCGCAGCTTGTCGGCAATCACAACAATCGCAAGGCGGCCATGGTGCTGCCCAGTGCCACGCCCACAGTGCCACATTTTGCTGTGCCACAGACGCCGCAGCGGCAGGCGCCGCCGCTGACGCCGCATCATCTGCAGCGCTACCAATCGACGCCCAGCTCCATAGCCAGCGCCGCCAACAAGCCGCCCAAGCGCTCGCTCTCGCTGGACGAGACGCAGGCCCAGCTGCTGGCCAAGCTACCGCGCCTGGACTACCAGCAGCAGCAGCAGCAGCAGCTGGGCAAATATGCCGCCAGGCTGAAGCCGAGCACAGCCTGTGCGACGCCCATGCGTCTCTATGGACCCGAACTGGCCAAGTCGAGCCAAATGCCGCTGCGCTGCCCGGCCAGCCTGAGTCTCAGCCTGCCGCACACAACGGTCACCATAACCCCCAAAGCCCGCCAGGTGGGACAGGTGGGACAGGCGGGTCAGTTGGGCCAGGCGCTGCACGGCCTCAGCTATCCGGAGAGCGGTCTGCCGTCGCTGGAGATTGCACGCCTGGGCCTGGGCCTGGGCCTGGGCGGAGCGGCTGCATCGCTGATGGGTCCGCCGGCCAGTCTGCCCAGGCAGCCGGTTAAGCGTGCCGCCCATGCGGTACAGTCGCCGCCGCTGTCGCTGCCCGCTAAGGTCAAGTCGCCGCCGCTGTCGGTGGCGCTCAGCGGGCAGCGAGGAGGCAGCAGCAGCAGCAACAGCAGCAACATGCACAATGCGGCTTATCGCACATCGCCGCCTGCTTTAATAAATCTGCGCAACACGCTGCCGCACGCTTTCGCAGCCAAGGCAAATGCTGGCGCAACCAAAGCGGCAGACAATGCCAAGAAAACGGCAACTGTTGCAGGCGCAGCGGCAGCAACTGTTGCTGCTGCCAGCAGCAATCAAAGCAAAGCCAATGGCAACGCCGCGCTGGACAAGTCCAAAACAAGTTTGCGCGAATTTCGGCCGCCAGCAACAACAGCAACAGCAACTGGCACGACAGCAACAGCCAAGGATGCTGACATACTTGATTTATCAGCGGGCACAGGACGCAGCAGCAGCAGCAACAGCAGCAGCAGCAACAAGCAGGCAACAACTGGCAGCAACAAGCACAGCAAGTTGGCGCCCACAACGTCTGCCCTGAGCTGCAACAACAACAGCAACAGCAGCAACAACAGCAGCAGCAGCAGCAACAGCCTGGAGGCCGCTGTAAATAAAATCAAGCAAAACTTTTGCGCCAACAGCAACAGTAACAACAACAACAATAACAACAGCAGCAGCAACAACAATAATGCTGCAACTGCTGCTGCGGCAGCGGCAACAGCTGCCAGCGGCGATGATCTACAAAATCTGCATTTGCTGTCGGAGTCGGCAACGGCGCGCGAAAAGATCTCGATTAAGAGCGGCAACATCTACGAGAATAAGCCAAAGAATGCGCTGGTCAGGCCGCAGAATGCGTCTGTGCGCAGCATACCGAATCCCTCGGCGCTGGCCTTTCGCAATCAGGCGACGCCAACAACAACAACAGCAGCAGCAGCAGCAACAACTGCAGCAGCACCAGCAACAATAACAATTGCTGCTGCGGCAACAACAATTGCTGCTGCCACAACAACAGCAATTGCTGCTGCTGCCGCTGCCGCTGCCGCCAAACCGTTAACAGTCAAAGCCGAAGAGCAGCCCAGCAGCAACAACAACAACAACAGCAGCAGCAACAACAACAACAACAACAACACGAGCTGCACTGCGTCTGCTGCTGCTGCTGCCACCTCGCCGCGTGCACTGAAAAAGCCGACAACAATCGATCAAGTTGCTGCCAATTTGAACATACTCGCCGAGGCCAAAGCCGCCGCCCTCGCCGAGGAGGCGCCACTTGTGCTGGGCGGCAGCAGCAGCGGCAGCAGCAGCAATGGGGCAACAACAGCAGCAGCAGCAGCAACGGCAGCCAAAACGCCGGAACTGGAAAAAGCAGCCAGCAGCGCGGCCAACGTGGCCAAAACGGATGCCAAGGCGCCAGCAACAGCAACTGCAACCTCGACAGCAGCAACTGCGACAGCAGCAGTTGCTGCCACGCCCACCACACTAGCCCTGCCCTCGCTGGCAATGCCAAGCGCTGCGAGTGCTGCCAGCAGCGATTCAATGTCAAAGCCGCCCGTTCAAATTGCCGCCACCGACACTTTGGCATCGGTGGCAAGTTCCGCTTAGTCACAAGGTGAGTGCCCCAAATCATTTTCAAATAAATCAAATATCATATCGAACACACACATAAACATGCACATAAATGAAAGACTGAGCGACAATTGTAGGCATATACTCATTTATACTCATAGATACGCATTAATACGCATTTGTGCAGCGAAAATACTTATTGATATGCATTAAAATTTAGAAAAATACTCGAACAGAAGCATTTCTGCATTACATTTGTGTTAAGTACTCATATGGGGAACATACTCTTGCATGCATCTAGAATAAACTCGCACATACTCATTTTTTCGTTTAAAAATATTCAATGCACTCATTAATACTTTCTTAATTAAACATTATACTCTCTTTTGTTACATATAAGGCACATACTCTTGCATATATCCAATATATACTCGCACATACTCATTTCTCTGTTGAATATACTCAAAATATATTCAACATACTCCGAATATATTCAATATACTCTTTGATATTATTCATTAATACTTTATTATTGCACATATCCACAACATACTCGCACATTCTTCTTTTTATTAAGCACTATACTCATTATTACTCAGTTGAATATGGTAACTACTCACTTTTACTCACACATGCACGAAATATACTTGCTTAATATTTAGAAATCTTCAACCTATCGAAGGTTAAACAGGGTCTAGTGGCCAACTTTATAGACCTTGCCCCATTTATGTTGCCCATTTTAAGATTTGATGTTTTCTTTTCAAGTGCAACATTTAATGATCTCAATATTTGAATTAAAAACTTTTGGTTTCAAATTACATTTTGGATTTTAGAAGCTATTTTAAGATTTTCATAGTACATATTCAAGTTTTGTGTATTCTAACGACTTGGTAAAAACTCAATTCTTGAGGAATGTTTTCGGCTCCATTCAAATTCCTTGAGAACCTTGAAAAACTTGCATATTTTACTTTATTTGTGACGAGCACGAAATGTTTTTAAATAGTTCATAAGGTGGAAAATTATACAATGTGTATAGCTAGAGTATTTCGGGCGGTTTTTTTCATACACTTCTAGAGGGGTAATTAAAATTTGTCATGAATTGTGTTACGCATAAAGTAAATTATTTCAGATCAGCATCAATAGCTGAGTTTATATAGTCCCTCAGCTTATAGGTTATCATCCGAACGTCTTTCTGTTGCACTCAGGACTATGTTGGTAGGGGAGGGATCGGTCCACTATATCATATAGCTGCCATAGAAAAGATCGAAGGAATAGTAGAATCTTATATGGCAAAATATTCTGTTTTCAAAGATAATCGGGGTGACAAAGATATGCTTACTTTCTCCCTTTCAATCAATTTATAATACTCAATTGTCGCATTATCAAAAAATATTTGGATGTCTAGACAATTGAGCTTATCTATTTGTATATAATTGCTTATCTATTACTAATATTATTGCACTTATTGTTGCGCTTTATGGTCATTATCATTATTCTTATCATTGTCATTATGATTATCATTATCATTATCATTTTCATCATCATTATCATCATCATTGTCATTATCATTATCATTATCATCATTGTCAGTATCATTATCATTATTAATTTCATTATTATTGTCATCATCATTGTCATCATCATCATCATTATTGTCGTTATCATTATCATTATCAATATCATTAGCATTATTCATTTCATTATTATTGTCATCATCATTGTCATCATCATTATCATTGTCATCATCATCTTCTTCATTATTATGCAAGGGATTTGGTTATTTGCTTGTAAATTCTTGGACCCAGCTTTGGATGCCTTCGCTTTAGTGGGTTTCGTTTTCTCTTCTTCTTTTCTATTGTTTGCCTGTTGCCTAACCTCTCCGCATGTCTCTCTGTATGTACATATTTTCTTTTTGGCGCCTTTCCCACACTCACCCAAAAAAAACTATAAAAAAAAAACGAGACTCAAATTATACAAATTACATTTCGTGTTTGCGCGTTTTCTGCTTGTTGCTCGTTTTTTCTTCTGCTTTTTCTTCTTTTTGCTTTTTGCTTTTTCTGTGCTCTTTCGTTTTTTCTCAAGTAGTCATTATACACAAATTTAGCGGGCAACGCTCGTCAACGTGTGTCTTCCACGTTAGCCTCAACTCTGACGCAGGCCCGCATACCCCCCCCCCCCCCTCTCCCCCTCGACTAACTATCAAACTATCTTTCTCGCTCTCGCTCTCTTCGGTTCGTTTGTCGGGCATTCGTTGGTTCGCCGGGTCGGTCATTCCTACGAGCGCTGCTTTATTTTTGCCGTTATAACAACAACAACAACAACAACAACTCTTTTTATTTGTAGTTGCTTTTGGTGCTTTTTATGCAGTGCTTCTTTTTTTTTTGTTTTTGCCTGCCTTTTTAATGAACAGCCGCAGCATGTCACACGCTCAGTCTCTCTCTCTCTCTCTCTCTCTCGCTCACTCGGACATTACATCATTTTCGTATTTTCATCCATGAATAACAATTTTCCTGTACTCAACAAAAAAATGCAGCGTTTCTTTGGATGTGCGGCACGCAAATGTATCTCGTGGCGCCACTCGAGAGTCTACAAACCAGCAACAGCAGCAGCAGCAGCGGCAGCGGCGGCAACAATCAGAATCCAAACCCAAACTGATTCCAGTTCCAGTTCCAGTTGGACTAACGCAGCCAGTTCCAGTTCTGCTGCAATCCCAATTGTTGAGAATCACGGAGAAGGGCAGCCCGGGGGCTGGCACACACGCCCCTTGCTGCAGCGAGTAAGCCTTACAACTTAAGCATAAGTACACTCATTGGCAAGCAATACACACACCCAAACAACACACACACACACACACACACAAAACTCGCACCAATCCCATACCAAAAAACAAAAAGATACGAGCTATAAGATACAAGATACTTAAACACACGGACACATCTGTAGATACAAATGCGACACAAATTCGCGCACATATGCAAATATTTGCGATTGGAATTAGTACGCGTCGAAATAAATTATAAGCGTAATGGAAATATATATATAACGTATACTATATATAAACGTATTTGTTGCTAACTACAACAACAACAACAAAAGCAGCAACAGCACAAAAAAAGCTGACACAAAAATGCGAAATATAAATAAATAACCACAACGCGAGCTCTTGTTGTTGTTGTTGGCGAAGCAAAAATGCGAACGAAAATTAATTATAAAATATCAGCAAAAAAGCAAAAACAAGAAAAACAGAAACGCAGATACTCTAATCGCAGACAATATTGCGATACGCTAACGTGTCGGGCACACGCGTCGCTAACCCAACTCGTTGAACTTGCTCGTTGAAGATGCTGAGGAATATTTGGCAGATCAAACAACTCGTTGTTGCGCCGGCGAGTGCGTCGCAGCAAGTAGAAAGGAGAGCATAGTCGAGTTGAACTCGGCAGCAAACTCGCTGCTGCTAAAGCGAGTGCTTTCAATAAAGTGCGTCAATTAAATGCGGTGAATTCGCAAGCAAAGTGAGCTGTTCATCTTACTCGTTGTTGCGCCAGCGAGTCAGTTTGCAGCAGATACTTGGAGTGGAAGAACTCGTGCAGCTCAAAATAGAAAGCAAAGGAATGAGAAGCTCGTGCCTTTATTTGGCAGACTGAAGCGAATGCGACTCGTTAAATTCGTGCCTACTCGTTGTTGTACCAGCGAGTGCGTCTGAAGAAGAAGCAAAGAAAGCATTCGGATAGTTAAATAAATTCGTAGAGCTGGTTTCAATTCGTTGTTGCAATAGCGAATGCGACTCGTTGAGCTCTTGACAACTCGTTGTTACTATAGCGAGTACTTCAATTGCCGGAATAAAGCGAACACGAGTCGTGCTCTGAAACTAACTCGTTCATGTGCTAGCGAGTGCTTTAAAAGAACGAGTAGTAGAAACCAGAAACCAGCCCGAACAGCTGACATTTGAAATAGAATTTGTTCCTATAGTAGCTAGTGTACCGAGCTCGTAAGCTCTCGAAAATAGCACTCGTTCCAATACATATATATTAGAATGACAGTGAAAAGTTAAAAAAAGAAAACTTGCTATACATGCCCCATAGACTCTAGCCAGCGTCTTAAGGGTATCAGCTAGTTCATAAACGGAATAATTATGAGCTGATAACATGAGGAGCGGAAAAAAAGGCGTTTTTTTTTGTATTGCGCGTAGCTAGAATCAAAAACAAATCGCATAAATTATTGAATATTATGAGAAACGTGCAGCAAGTTTATCGGAAGTGTTTTTTTGTTTTTTTTTTTAAATCTAATTTTTGTATTTTTTTTTTGTTTTTTTCTTTTTGGCTGCGGCCAAGTGTGAAACGCGGCACTTGGCGCAGGTTGTTGACGAGCGCTGCGGATTTTGGGTTTTTCGATTTTTCGGTGGTGGTGTGTGAACAGTAGCCCACACACACACACACACACACACACACGCACACACGCACGTTCGCTGAGGCGATAAAATTTTAACGATTTTGCGCCGCTTGAGCTGAGCGTGTCAAGCATAAAGATACAAAATACAACAGATACACATACAAATAACTATATATAAACACACCTATATATATATAAATATATATATATATATAAATATATTCAAATAACGTGTAGATACTTTATCGCATTAGTGTTACGTTTAATTGCAGCACGAACTTTGTACATAAATTTAAATATCGAAGCGACACAAAAAAAACTGAACAAAAAAACAAAACTGAAAACAAAAGCAAAAGAAACCTTTTTTTTAAAAAAGCTTCGACCAAAAAAAAACAACTTAAAAAACTGTGCTTTGTTGTTTAGTAAATTTATCGATAACTGTCTAACAATTAAAACGCTCTTATCGATAAATTTAAAAAACAGCCTGGCCTTAGTTTAGCTACTTTTAGTATATCGTATATCGTATATCGTATATCGTCTATATGTGTCGATAAATATCGTCATGCAAAGCTTTACGTGCTCGTTTATCTCTCTATATAAGTGTATTTGTGTCGTGACATTTGCTTTGTGTTTTATCTGTTATTTATATATGTACATAATTTATAAAGTTTAAAGGCCGCAACGACAGCCGAAATTGTATAATATATTTATGTATATGGCGCAGTTTCCGCCGCTTACGTCATCGATATCGATATCGATATCGTTATCGTTATCGATATCGTCAAGTGGCTTTCTCAGCTCTGTCTAGTTATAAATATTATTAATATAGATGAAATGAAAAACAACCCCGTGGCTGATGAAAATCTAGCAACCACCTTTTTGGTAAGAATTTGTTCAAATTTACATAAATCAAAAAAAAAACCCCTCCCCCCTTGCCGCATTCAACCCTCAACCCTGTCGATATCGATATGTTTGCGTAACCCTGGAAACTGCGCACGAAAAGCACTTAACAATTGCAGCTCGAAATTGTTGTAAATTCCTGAAAGAGAAATGAATTGAGAACAATTTGTAGAATTGTATATTTATTTAATTTGTAACAACATTAACTAACAATTAATTAATAATTAACTCTGGCTATTGGCATCGTGCAAAAACTATAATTCTAATTCTAATTATATTATTTGTAAGCTCTGATATTAATGTTTGTTCCCAATGAAATGTTTAAACTTTGATGCTGAAAATTAACTAAATATACAAAAAAAAAAAACACACACACACACAAATAAGATTATATAAACTTAATAAACAATTATATATTTAGAAATCTGAATGTGTGCACATAAAACATAAATTATAATTATTAGAAACATATTATATTATTGTTAGAAACATTTTTCGGCGCAACTTCACACATGTAATCCACACGAAATTCTAAGTTAAACAATAAATTAGCTGATTTTCAAATAAAACGAATAAATAAAATGAATGAAAAACAAAAACAACAACAACAACAACAAAAACAATTCACTCACAAATAGACAAATGCGTTTTGTTACTTTTATGACCCTGATAAATCAGTGCGAAGGCGAAGCTGGAGCTGGAGGCGGACATGGATACGAAGACGGAGAGTAACGAGGAGAAGGAGAGGGAGAGGGAGAGGAAGGCGGAGGTCGCAGGCGACAACGGCGTCGACAGAAGGTGTCGTTATGCGGCCAGGAAGACACATACGAAGATACTCACACGATTTGCGAGTATCGGGTTACAGTCGCCGTTACAGTTATGGGCATTACTGCGCCTAGAGATGAGCGCGTGTCGTGCTTTTTGTAAGCACAATTTAGCAGGTTTTTGCATAGAGGAAGTTCACTCAAACTAGTTCACAAAACTATTTCAGAAGATTTTATATTATATTATTTTCATACTTAAATTCTTATTTATGATCCAGTTATGGGATTTACTGCGCTTAGTACTGCGTGCGTGTCGTGCTTTTTTCAAGCACAGCTGATATTTGCATAGAAAAAGTTCACTCAAGTTGTTTATTTTCATACGATTTTATATTATTATATTTGTGGGCTTTCAAAGTGTTTTATATCGTATTACTTTTATATTATTTCCATACTTATATTTACTCCAATTATGGGCCTCTTTGCGCTCAGAGCTAAGCTCGTATCGTGTTTCTTTAAGCATAATTCATCAGATGTTGCATAGAAAAACTTCATATTATATTACTTTATTATTATTTCCATTAATATTTGCATTTTGTGTGGTGTCAGCAAAGGACGAGCTTAAAATCGAAGCTAAACTTGTTTGAGTGAAAGCTCATTAGCAAAATGTCAACTCTTTGTGTTTAGCTGCTTCAATATATTTGCGTGTCGATTCGTGTCACGCGCGCGTCTCTAATGCAAATTGCCAAATGGCATTGCGGCGAACGAGCTGCACAAGTGGCGTGGAGGGGGGGGGGGGGGGGGGGGGTTGGGCAGAACGAGACACTGAGCTGGCTGTGGGCCGTTGTCAGTTTTTCATTTGAAATTCCAACCCCCGCTGTGGAAAATTGCACGCCCAGCAGCACCCAGCAGTGTCAAGGCAAAGGCAAAGTCCTGGGCCCTGAGACCGCTTTACTTGTTGGCATTGCAGATTTCAACGCTTTTCATGGCTAAAGCAAGGCATGGGCCGGGCCGGGCCGGGCCGGGTCGGGAAGTAAGTGTGGGGGGCAGGACACTTGCCGGAAACATATGGCGGCACGCTAAAACCAAAGTCGTCGTTGTCGTCACACACACACACATGCACACCCACACATGCACGCACACAGAGTCAGGCACATGCATAATGCCAAAGCCACAGCCGCAAATACGTAACAACTGGCACGTGCCCGAGCTCGTGCCATAACCTTCAAGGCAATGACAAAGTCGGGCGGGGCAGAGCAGAGCAGCGCCAGCGACGCGCCAAAGAGGAGGGTGAGCGAGCGAGCGGGCAACATGACGAGGACGAAGGCGAGAGCGAGGCCGAGGCCGAAGCTTTGGCTTGTGGGTGCCGTGTCTGTGTGTGTGTGTCTGTGTGTGTGCAGCTACTTGTTGTGTTTTATTTGTTTGTCGTACTTTTATTAAAAACGAACGCTACCTAATCAGCAGCAAAATGTCGCACTTTACTGCACACACACACACACAGACACACACAGATAGAGATATAGAATTGAGTGTTGGAGAGTTTGGAGAGTGGGCGAGCGCGACGTTTGGCTCTCGCCTGGCGCCGCGCACCCGCTGCCGTCCATTGCGAAAACGAACTTATCAGCTTTTTGTTTTTGCCGCTGCCTTTGCCCGGAGCTTTGCTAAAGTCGTCGCCAGCGGCTGTCGCTTCATCCGGCCTTCGGCCCGCCTGCAGTTAGCTGTACCTCGCCCCCTTCCCCTCGCCAACCCCAAGACCCCCGCCAGACAGCTTTGTTGCTGCTGATAAATAGCGTTAAACATTTCTCGCCGTTGTTGTTGCTGTTGCTTTTGGCTGTCGTTGTCGGCATTGGAACGTGCCCAGCTTTGCGATTTGCGATTGGTAAATTGGGTAATTGAAAACACTTAACCGTTATGATTTATTATCTATATTATACGCCAGATATGTATGTATATGTAAGTGTCATATGCCCGCCCCCTCCCGCCTACCGCCGCTGGCTGTTTGCATTTGCCGTAAATTGTGTAATCATTTTTGACTCGTGCTGCAAAAACAACATTTTCCATTTTATTGTTAGCGTCGTTTAACTGCGGCTGTTATTAAAAACGAATCAATCATAGATACATCAGCTTTTAAATTCCGTTTGATGGATGCTTTGGCTGGCATTTAAACCTGGATTTGGAGCACGACATTGCATAAGTCTCGAAGTGCAGTTATTTGCGGGAAGTTAGTCGGGCTTTTTGGCTTTCAGTGGAAAATATTAAATTCCAAAAGTACAATTAAAACTCTTTAAAGCTGTCGTATGATTGAAGAGGTGCTTTCACTATGTTTTTGGCGTGTTTCAGTGTTGGAAAGTGAGTGAACAACAGCTTTTTAGCGTGTTGAAGTGTTGGAAAGTGGCTGAAAATAGTTATGAGTCTGCATAAGTGTTGGGAAGTGAGTACAAATCGTTATAAGTTTGTTTAAGTGTTGGAAAGTGAGTGTAAATAGTTATGATTATGCTTTAGTGTTGGAAAGTGAGTAAAAATTGTTTTTAGTGTGTTTAGGTGCTGGAAAGTGAGTAAAAAATAGTAGAAACAATAAGAAACTATTCAAATTATCAAAAGTCTCTTCTACATTTAAACGAAAAGATTGTTACATTCGTTAAATTTTGCATCCAAAAAATACAATCAACAATTTAATTGTCTGTCAATGATTGAAGAGGTGCTTTCGCTAGGTTTTATGCGTGTTTCAGTGCTGGAAAGTCAGTGAGAAATTGGCTTAAGTGTTGGAAAGTGGATATAAAACAGTAAAATCCATAGGAAAGTACTCAAATTATTAATAGTGTATTTTCAATGTATTATAAACTCAGATAAGAAATGTGTTACATTCGTTAAATACGGCTTAAATGTAGAATTTTTAAATTATGCAAAGGTATTAATGCGAAAATAGATAATAAACTTCTTAAATTAAAACGTTATTTAAATCAAGAGATTCTTGGGTATCCCAAGTGCTATTAAACAATTGCTTTAGCTCTAAGTCATGGGAGAACTGGATAATTATTAATTATAGCTTTTCTTGTGCAAGTGTTCTCCTAATTCCATCTATATTTTCTTCACCTTCCCTAAACAATCAGCCCTTTTGATTTCAAGTGCCCATTCATTGGATAAATTTGATATATTCAGAAAGAGAACCTTGTTTAAACGGCACAGATAATCCTCTAAAAGCATATTTA